CCCCCCCCCACCCCCTCACCCCGCTTTTGGGTTGAAATGGACATGTGCATTGACAGATTTAATGAGACTCCCTTTTTATTAATGTTCTGTTAAAATGTCTACTGCATGCATCTCCTTCCCACTCACTGCCTCTGTCTGTCCCTCTCCCTCTCCTGTAGATAATGCTGTCATTTCCAGATTGTGGGCCTTCAGACACTGTTCTCCCCAGCCTTCAGCCTCTGTTAATGGCTATACGAGATGAGCGTTACACACATGCACAAGAATTCCACATCTGGAGTCTGTCTCTCAAGCAAAAAGATATAGTTGAGCTGGTGAGCACCGATCCCACTTTACTGTATATCCTAGTTTTGTGATTGGCAGTTATGCAAAATCTTGTAGTCTCAGGATGCTTGCTCCAGCACACAAGAGAGAGAAAGAGTACAACAGGGCAGCCAAGTCTGCTGCAATACAACCCAAACCTTCCTGTGCAAAAAAATTTTTTTTGTTCAGCCACATCATTCACAGTAAGATATGTCCTTTATTTCAGCAGTAAATGGTAATGAGGCATAACTGTTAACATTTTATCTTAACACCGGATCAGTTGAGCTTTGGAAAGAGTTCTGCATTACACAACAATTTCAGATTCCAGAATATTTTTTTCTGTCATCTCTGCATTTTGTTGCAAAACATTTTGGCTTTACATGTTAAATGCACCTGCTTTCTCTTTCTCCCTTTCCATAATTCACATTCTTTTTGCCTGTGCATTTCCACACCATTTTACATAATTAAGACAATAAAAATGTAAAGAGAATTAGATGTCTTTAAAAACATTAATCTGTATTTCTTTTAGGATCAATTTCATGATGCAGGCTTTTATGCAGGTTCAGAAATGAACTTTTCCATTAAGGGACAGTATTTGCATAATGGAATTGATTTCTTGATTAAAGGTTTTTCAACACGTTCTTGTTGAAAATACTGGTCTGTATTTTCAACAAGAACCGCAATACCTCTGAGGCTATGGCGGGTTGTCAAACCCATGAAGACGCAATGAAGATGAGATTTACTCAGCTACTGCCAAATTTCAGATTATTTTTCCAGCACTATAAGACGTGTAACTTCTGTAGGAACTTGACAGAAACCTGAGAGATGACATCACATGATAAACAATATTTTTTTATTTATTTAAAACTGATATATACATTATGTAGGCCTATCAGCAAACATTTGAAGCCAACTTGCAGTGTCTTACAATTTTTCAGATTTGTTTTGAGCCAATGGGGGCTTTGAGTGCCAAGGCCCTCAATCTGAAAATAGCCTAGTAGGTTACAGATCAACTCTGCTCCAGGAAAGACACTGTCCTGTAGATCTTAATGTGGAACTTGGAACTTGAAGACTTAGTTTAAATTGTTCAGGTGTTTAATTTTAGTTGGAGAACAGTGGCCCTCATATTTTAATTTCAACTGTAGATGTAGATAATATTATAAAATGCACAGCATTACTAAAATCAAATTCAAACAGCACACTTCAACTTCACAATAAATAAGTTACATGAAAAATCCATCAAATCAATAACTTCTGAGTTGATGGAGAAGTATATTTTAGAAGTATACTTCAGGTTTAAAACCAACAAATCAACCATGGATCACCTCTTAAATGTATAGAAATGGCCAAGTTTCTGTTTCCAAAATTGTGTCAATTTAGCAAAATTATGCTGTAATATCATAGTGTTTCATAAACCACTCATTTCCTAAACCACACTGTATAGCCGTTGAAAAGGCCCCTCTTCAGACAGCGCATGCTTCTGCTGGTTGTATGTTATGGCTACTGACACACTTTTATTATCCTGCGGTCCACACCCATTTTCATTCCCTTCCAGGGGCAACATGTTCACACTTCAGCTCATATAAATCGGAAAAATCTGTCCAATTAAAGGGTGAGATTTACTTCCAGAACAGCTTTGATGCTGTGAAAATCACTGCCATATGCCACTGACCTGCAGACAATGAATGTAAGGAAAACAATATGGTGGATAAGCATGCAATTGAAGTTCTGCACTTGAATGCTGTTAGGACAATCCTAACATATCAATTTGGCACACACACAGATTTATATGTGCCGGTCAGACGGTTATAACAATAAGTGCCTGGGAGTTCTATAAGAGGTCCTCATTCTTTAAGATGTTGATGAGATTCTGGGAGTTTTTTTTTTTCTACTGTAGATCATCACTAATCTATGGAATGGCGTTCGAGGGGAGCTTCATATAGGCTACAATAGATACCTGTATGTAATTATTCTTTTTCTCACAGTTGGATAGCGATTACACACAGCTGTTTTGTCAAGAACTGCATCTTTGATCTCTGTGTATTTATTTCATTAAGCCAGTTGAGTGATGTCTTCCTAATTGCTTAGCAGTGACTGTGAGTGCGCAAACCAGCCTTAAATCTCTATGACTATGATGGATCATGTGGTCTTTCTGTTGTGTGCATAAGAAACAGTTGTATTATTAAAAGAAAAATGAAATGAAGTTGCACTGAATGAAACAAATTTGGACATTTTCTGTAGAAAAAGTATGTGTTGTCTGCATGTGCAAAACTCACCATCACAAAGTGTTATGGGTGGCTGCCAGCACATTGTTTTAATGTAAATGCAGGTGACTGTGTGCAGAATAGTAATTGTAAAATCCATGATTGTCAATTCACCACATGAGAGGCATTTCACCAACTCAGCTGTATAATTTAATGCACGTGTTTGTTCTGACAGTGTCTTCTTTTGGAGAAGAGGGGGAGGACAGTTTATCCCTTCAAATCACTGGAGCTACTTGATTGCAAACTAACTGAAGGGTCTCTGGAAAAACTGGGCAAGGCTGCAGGCATCAGCTACCTCACCACTCTCTGCCTGGACTACACACAGTGAGTGAACATCTGATTGTGTGAATGTACTCGGATGCACTTTGAATTCCTGAAAGCTTGAGAAATTGCACAACGCTGTGCATGTGCAGTCATCACTATGATTGATATGACCAATAAAATCTTCAGAATAGGCTGCGGGACATGGTTTGCACTTAACTGGTTTGGGGGAAAAAAAGAGTCACACAAAGTGTGTGCAAAGCAAAAATACTAGAATGCTTCCATTGAACTATAAAGCGGTCACTGTAAATTACACAGATTCATAGTTAAGCACAAGCTCACTGAGAGTGTCCTTGTATGCTGCGTTTACATTTTGTATGCTACAAGTATTCCAGTTTGTCACTTCAAAGTGTACAGTATATTGGTGTTACACTGTCTACACTTCAACATCTAGAAAATGAAATACAATGGATGGTGATTGTAACAATGCGCTTTTAAAAAACATGTTTTGCAGTATCTTGATACAATCTCATTGTCACAGATCAAGCCGGAGACAACAGGCAAGTGAATGAAAGGCAGGTTTATTGATGTTTTTAGAATACGGGATCCGGGAGCAGAGGAGAACAACGATGGAAGATCTTCAGAGAACTAGAGGTAAGAATAAACAGGGACGTTGCATTCAGTGAGTCTGGTGAAGTTCTGTGTAGTGAACGGTAGACCGGACGGTGAGTGACTGGAAAGAGCGTGCTTATGAATGGTGACTTGATTGCAGATGACAGGTGCGGGGAATCAGAACTCAGGTGATGGTGATCGTGACTGAGAACCGGTGTGAGCTGGGGAGGATTCTGGGACATGGAATCCAAAGGCTGGTGATTCGCTGACATTACTCCCCCTTCCCTGTTGGCATGTCCCGTGCCGTAACAATTCCACCAGGGGGGGGGCGGCGCCCTGGAGGCTGGTGCAGGACTGGGACACAGGGAATACCTCCAGGGCGGATCAGGCAGTCCAGGGTACCATGGTGGCGCAGGGAACTCAGGACGCCATGGCCGGACGGCCGCCGTGGCCTTTGCCTCGCCACTCGGCCCGGACACTACAGCCGGACCTATACTAACCCCCCCCCCCCAAAAAAAACACTTGAATAACGGGCTCCGACGCCCTCTCTGGGCCAAAACCGGGGACTGGACCCTTCTTTGGGCTTAACTGGGGACTGGAGCCTTCTCTGGACTAAACTCGGGAACAGGAGCCCTCTGTGGGCTAAACTCGGGAACAGGAGCCCAGTCTGGGCTGGATTCAGGGACTGGGAAGCACTTACGAGGAGCTGGCACTGGAGCGAGCTCTGTGGCTGGAGCCGGCACTGGAGCGAGCTCTGTGGCTGGGGCCGGCACTGGAGCGAGCTCTGTGACTGGAGCGAGCATTCTCCACAAATGGGAGATCCTGGTGAGCTAGGGCGGCAAACCGCGCGGCAACTTCTATAGCCGTGGGGTGAAGCATTTTTTTTTTTGGTCCGGTCTTCTGTCACAGATCAAGCCGGAGACAACAGGTAAGTGAATGAAAGGCAGGTTTATTGACAGGTATGGCAAAGACAGATAGTCTGGACCAAAGGCAGATGAGAATTCAACAAAGTAAAGTCCAATAATTCTTAGCTGTGTATTGATGTTTGGTTCTTTGCAGGTTTGCGGAGAATACGGGATCCAGGAGCAGAGGAGAACAACGATGGAAGGTCTTCGGAAAACTAGAGGTAAGAATAAACAGGTAAGTTGCATTCAGTGAGTCTGGTAATGTTCTGTGTAGTGAACGGTGGACCGGATGGTGCGTGACTAGAAGGAGCGTGCTTATGAGTGGTGACTTGATTGCAGATGACAGGTGCGAGGAATCAGAACTCAGGTGATGGTGATCGTGACTGAGAACAGGTGTGATCCCTATTATGCCTTTTCGAATATTACCTTTCATGCAGTGTGTCATGTAGCTGTATGTGAACATAAACTATATGCAAAGTTGTGAAGCCGACAGTGCACGATAAGTGATGTTTTATTAACAAGTTTCGGGAGGAGCGCGCACAGATAATAATTAATAACAAGTTTCGGGAGGAGCGCGCACAGATAATTAACACGGCCAGTTCATCATCAGTAATTACACCATCTATCCAATCAGCTCAAGAGAGAACCTCTATAAATAATCAAAGCAGCCTTACCTCCATTATCTCCCGTCCTTAGCATCCCTCCACCACCCCGACTCCTCACCTTCAGCCCGTTCCTACCCCAGCACGGGAAAGAACACTCGGGGGGGGCATTCTGGGTCCGGGCTTAATCCCGAGCTCGGACCCCTCTCCCCGGCCAGGGGGAGGACCCCGGGCTCGAGAGTAATTACCGAGCTCGGAGCCCTCTCCCCGGACAGCACGCCAAATACGCATAAACTTTACTCGGTTCATTATAAGTAAGTGTGAACTCGTGAAATAAAGTTATTGTCTATCAAAACAAAAAAGTCGGCTCGCAATCACCTAAACGAGTCGTCAGGAATTCGAATCTTATTCTGTTACGGCTCTACGTCACGAAGTAACACATGTGCATAATGTCTGCCCACGTTCTATGTCGTCAACTTGCCCGCCCACAAACAGTAAAATTTCCGTGTGGTTAACATCATGTCGAGAAGACGCTGTATCCTACGCTGTGAAAGTAAATTTTATAATCTTATAATTACCACAAACTTGTTAACACTTGACACTTACCACTGAGAAACGTCCTGCTCCCGTCGTGCTTGCAAATCAGTCTCTTGTCGATCAGCCACTTCAACTGTTTCATCATCAGACTCCGGCTCAAATTGGTAAGGTACAATCGATACCATTTTTTCTATGTACTGACAAGTCTCCAGGGCTGTCATTCCGTCATGGCAATGGGCGTTTAGTTTCCGACACGCACTGTACGCGTGAGACCAATCACAAAGGACTGCGCCATTTGACCAATCACTGCAGTGAGGGATCACGGAAAGGAGGGGTTTGGAGAGACTGATTCTTTGAACTGCTTCACACGAGTCGTTTACGAATCATTTAGAAATTAGGTAAAATTAAATCAATTTTTTGAGAAAACTAACGTGTTTTTTGATCTTGCATGCATGTAAACCTGTTTTAGGAGACTCATAAAACAATATTAGCAACCTTAAAAATGGCATAATAGGGGCACTTTAATAAACTGCCAAAATCCCGGGAATCAAACTAACATTACTTTTTATTAGGGGCCTTTCAGACAGAACACATTATTTTTTTGCATTTAAATGCATTGGTTTTCTATTGGCTCCCTGATGTGCTCACATCAAATTTTTTTGTGTGTGCTTTGTTTCAGTAGTTTCAGCATGTACAGTATTTTTTTAAAGGTTTAATAATGGCCTCTATGTTCTCTATATCTGTCTTTCTCTCTCAGCGTGGAACCGGAAGGGTTGAAAGGTTTGCTGAGTGGAGGTTTGGGGGCCAGTCGAATATCCTCCCTGAGTTTGTGTTATTGTGGTTTGGGTTCATGGAGCGGAACTCTGCTAGCTTCACTCCTCACCAACAGTTCCGTGAGGTACAGATTGTTATGACCACTGATGCTTATGTTTCCCATTGACCTATGCATATCTGTGACTCCTGGGATCCATCAGCTTCTGCAGAAACATTTCATCACATATTCATGAATGTGAGCTTCAGCTGATGACTGCTTACAGCTGACGACATCTTACTGGGCCACAGGGGTTTCATGAGTGGACATGAGTTACAGGGCCCTCTCTTATGTGGACCTAAAGAAAGGCTATTTTGACAATCCAATATTAAATAATAATTTGACATACAGTACCAAGAATTTCTAGAAATGCCTCAGTCCTGCCATATTAGTTGCTCCACCTCTAAAGATTTAGTTCATTTAATGTAGTGTTGAGTGTAGTATACCAAAATATATTTTTTAAGCTATATTTTTGGCCTTTCTGTGATGGGAAAGTTAAGAGAGAGACAGGAAACAACAGGAGATGAAAGAGGAGAATGGGATCTGGAAAAGGTTATGTGAGTGTTCAGGACTAGGCCAATTAAATAGATTGAGTCCAGCCTAATTTACAGTGAACATTAGAGCTAATGTGGTTCAAGAGCTGCCAAGACTAATATATGACTTACTGTGGAGATGCTTCACAGTTAATTCAGTCATGCAGATATGATAGCCTTCTGGCTAATTCTGGCACATTGTACATTTATGTATTATTGATGTGCATTGTCCCTGTCAAATAAACCTGAAATAAATAAATAGATAAAACTCTAATGCTATTCCTTTATAGCAGTGGTTCCAAAAATATCCTTGGTTTCAAAAGGAGACCAAAGAACTGAAATATATGACCCATAAAGGAAAACCGAAGGATTTGTGTGCAAATCTATTTGTGCACATACATTAACTTTGTATATTAGGGCATCTTCCTGGCATCTCACTCCTGTACTGGGTGTACACAGTGAAACTGTATAATGCAGCCACTTGATTGGGCCTTGCACCTACATTTTGGGGTGCTGGAGGTACTCTGGGATCTGAAGTTGTCCTTATGTGAGGGGGAATATGTCTCTGAGACTTATAGAATTACTCTATCCGGTGAATTTTGGGGATGTGCATTTGCTGTAAAATCGGGGGAAAATGTTTCAGTAGGACCAGAGCAAGACCAACAACTTTCTAGTATATTTTCTATTAAGAAGGAAGTGTATTTCAAGTCAATACAGCCAACACTTCACCACCATGTTTGCATAGCTGGTGATGTCTGTGTGCATGATCATCCCTACTGCTCACTGGCCTGTTATAGGCTGGCCTCTAGCCAGGAGAGTTTTATTTTTTTGGTTTTTGAATGTTTGCTTAATATCATGCTGGAATGTCAGATGGAACAAAAAAGATTTTCTAGGCAGGGCTCAAATCGGACATGTCGTGCTGTCGCACAATAAGTGACATAATGGAGCACTCAAGACATGGGTTAGGTAACGTCTCAATGAGGTGGTCAATACCATGGCAGGAAGGAATTATTTCCATCCATGCTATCCATCACACTAAAGCATGTGGATCATCTAAATGTGTCCACATTGAGCTTCAGTACTCCCAAGAAGAACTGGGAGTGAGGAGAAAATGAGGCTATAAATGTGTGTGAAGTTAATATTTCCAGGCACCCAGAAATGTGGAAGTCATCTCAAAGCACATGGCCATCCTGGATGCACTTTTTTGAGAACAAGCCACTTGTAAATCAGTTTCATAAGACAGAGCTGTGCAGGTTCTATAAAAAAAATGCACTTTATAAAGGTTAAAGTGAAGCTCTTTTCAGATGCAATCTGCATATTTTCTATTAAGAAGGAAGTGTATTTCAAGTCAATACAGCCAACACTTCACCACCATGTTTGCATAGCTGGTGATGTCTGTGTGCATGATCATCCCTACTGCTCACTGGCCTGTTATAGGCTGGCCTCTAGCCAGGAGAGTTTTATTTTTTTGGTTTTTGAATGTTTGCTTAATATCATGCTGGAATGTCAGATGGAACAAAAAAGATTTTCTAGGCAGGGCTCAAATCGGACATGTCGTGCTGTCGCACAATAAGTGACATAATGGAGCACTCAAGACATGGGTTAGGTAACGTCTCAATGAGGTGGTCAATACCATGGCAGGAAGGAATTATTTCCATCCATGCTATCCATCACACTAAAGCATGTGGATCATCTAAATGTGTCCACATTGAGCTTCAGTACTCCCAAGAAGAACTGGGAGTGAGGACAAAATGAGGCTATAAATGTGTGTGAAGTTAATATTTCCAGGCACCCAGAAATGTGGAAGTCATCTCAAAGCACATGGCCATCCTGGATGCACTTTTTTGAGAACAAGCCGCTTGTAAATCAGTTTCATAAGACAGAGCTGTGCAGGTTCTATAAAAAAAATGCACTTTATAAAGGTTAAAGTGAAGCTCTTTTCAGATGCAATCTGCATAGGGTATTGTCAAGAAATGAATTCATCAACCATGAATGAAGAAGCGATTGAGCTATTGTGTTTGAGGGCTTCTGTAACTCAAGATACAATTAAAACACCTGCCTTAACAATGTCCTTCTTGCAAGTCATTACGATTGAGAAAATACAGCAAATTTTTCATCATCCTTTACTGATAAACAGGGGCCTAATTTGTTGTCTGTGTGTTAAGGACCTCTGACATCACGTCACACATAACAGACTCTATAGTTTAATGTTAAGTTAAATGCATTCATTGGTCAATCCACATCTTTAGAGAGCTCTACCTCAATGGCAATGAGCTGCAGTGTGGGGGTGCCATTGAGCTGCTGAAACCTGTGGCTGAAAACAGCCAAAAACTGGCAGAGATCCAAAACAGGACCACATCCATCACAGGTGTGTATGTGAGTTTGTCTGCTCTCACCTAATTCATTCTATCAATAGTAAGACTGCTGAATTAATTGTGCCTCAGGGACTTGCTTTATCCCCAGGGACTTGTTTTATCCTAAAAAGTCAATATAAGATGTCTCTCTTAAGGCTTTTCTGTTTTTCTAAACCTAATACAACCTCAGAGTTCTGTATGGTATACAGTTGTGTATGAGTGGGATACATACATGCAGTGTGTAATGTTATGGAATGGAATGTGTCAAGAGACTAAATTATGAAAATGATCATCTCATCGTTTTTTTCCCCCAACACTTACCGGAAGACATTAAAGGGTGTAATGTAACCTAATTTTGTGCAAAGTGATGCCATTCAAGCATTTCTTTCTTTTAGATGAAACAGAGTTGATCTCCCAAAGGACCAATACCAAATCTTCCAGACAAAAGAAAGCAAAGAGCAAAGGTACCACTAATTTTCCAAACTACTGAGTGCATATGCATATTCACACAGTTATTGCTATGATCACTTGGAGCTCTTATGGGCTCTTGGTGTCCCTTTTGTTAAACACACTTGCACAAAACCTCCTTTGAAACCACCTGAGCAAATATACTTGCTTAGGACTCCTATTACAGCACCTTGACAACACAGCACATCCACAGAGACAATGTGGAGGAGAAACAGGAAATACCATAGGGTCACAGAGGGCTGTGTAGGACATACGTGTATGCACAGTCACATGTACAGTACCTACTGCGCGCCGATATACACACATATACAACAAACTCATTTAAACAAAGTAAGTTATTTTGTGTTATATTATGCATAGATTTGTGGCCATTTCTTTCCCATTTGTGTCTCATGACTTACTATTTACATAGTAATCGGGTTTCCCAAAGAGGGTCCGCAACCCTTTGAGGGTTTGTGGAATGAAGAGAAGCTAATAAATAATTGAATCAAATGTAGCATTAAAATGAACAAATGGGGGTGCTTAATCAATTGAAATAAAATGGATTCATGATTATCAAATCAAAAGCTGCAATTTAATGAAAAAGTATATAGTCATTTCAGCTGCACTGCGTGTTAGAGTATAGAGCAGCACTGTGTTCATTTACAATATGATTTTTTTGGTCACCCTAGTGAAAAATAAATATAATAAAATGTATTTAAAATAAATGTTTTCTTGCTAAGTATACTAATACATTTACATATTTATGTGCTTAATAAAAATACCCTGCAGTTGTACTTTTGCTATACTAAACGGTTATACTTGAAGTCTACTAAATTGTAACAACTAATTTTACACTTAATGCACTTTAATTGTGCAGAAGCAGTGCTGAACTCCAACTAAAGATATACTGAAGTATATTTGATTGTGCTAAAGTGGAACTATTGCAAGTATACTTCAGGTACACTTTAAATATCTTGCATTTAAAGTCTGATATTATTCAAAGATCATACAATAATCATCAATAGAGACATTAAAACACATTTTAGGCTTAATATTAGAAAATGTGCATTGTGCACAAGAAGTACTCCAAATAAAGTTTAATGATAATTGTTGTATCAGTAAGTCTCAAGTGATATGTCAGTAAATATGTAGATTTGAATTATACATAGTATGAAATAAATGTATTTTAAATTTATTACTTTTCTACTAATATGTGCAGACTTCGATCTGTTTTTTTAAATAATCTGTTTAGTTGCATGTAATGGGACCATTAACCAACATTAGAGAATTACTTCAAGTAAATAACTTACTTCTTCAGGGTTTGGCTGATAAAAATTTTTGGGGGAACTCATAATATAATTAAATTAGTAACATTAATCGACAAATTTAACTATGCTTATTGTGTAAAATCATTTTTTAACTCAACAACATGAAGTTTACGAAGAATTACTATTAAAATGTATTACTATTTAGAATTATTACTATTTAGAATTACTATTTAAAATGTTTGCTTTTCAACAGAATATCAACCAGTTTCTTTGTCCCCATCATTATATTACATTTTAAATGAATTAAATTTGAGTCTTCTCTGTGTCCACTGGCGGGACAGCTTGGCTCACAGCTTGGCTCACATGAGTTTGCACAGCAATATCAAACGACAATGATCTAATTATCCAGTCAATTCCCAATGAACAAAGTAGCACCATCATTTTTTCCTGTTCAAGAAGCTGTTTGTTTTGGCTATATGTCACAATAGGGAAGAAAAGACTATTGCAACTTTTAACTATTGCTATATTGCTATACAACTGTATTGCAACTATTTGCAACAGTATTTTTATATTCCAATTTTGCGCATAAGTTAAATTCGCAACTTTGGATGGAAACCCGGCTAATGTTCGTCAGGTATTGTTGGCTCACCCCGTCCATGTCTGTTGGCAAGGGTCAGTGCTTGTTTTCGCCAGTTGAACATGCTGTTTGCCAGGGTTTGGAATGTTTGAGAAGTGAAATATTACTCTCGGTCAGCTGTCGGAACTTGTGGTTTGTGGTGTTGAGTGAAGCTGGTTGTCACTTGCTCAGTGAGGCCAACGGCATTTGGCTGTTTCCCCCAAAACTCAGGGAGAGACGTCTCTCTGCCACTGTGTGTGTTTTAATTTATAGGCCTCTCCTAATGATTTAAAATGGCTTCCCAGTTTAATTTTATCTTGTTTTTTATGTGCTGTTATCATAAAAATGAATTCCATCTGTTGATGAATGGGAGGAGGCAGTGAGTCATGTCTTTTTGATGGATGCTAGATTATTCTCAGCTATGAATGTCATGTTGTGGTTAGGGAAGAAGACAAAGAAGAAAAGAGAAAAAACCAAGAGCGGCCATAGGACCGCAGGAGGCCCGTGGCTAGAGAAGCTGCACATGTGTGATAATTCCATTGATGGCTCAGGAAAGGAGGGACCAAATCAACTAAATCAATTCCTGGAGATCCTTTGCATGTAAGTGTCACCTCCTCAGTACATGACTGAGTATATATTACACTAAATTTCAGGATTTAATATAAATTTTAAAAAGGTAAAGGATTGATTCGCTGATGCAATTAAACAGTTCAAGCATGAGGCTCAATTCATTACAAAAATCAGCATGGCAGCATCAGGGCACAGTTGAGAGTAAATGGAGGTCAAACTAAATCTAAAATCTAACTCTAAAAGTCATTTAAGTATATTTGTCAACAGTCCCATTAAGTTAGAGCCCATAATTATTCAAACAATTATTTAAAATGCACTTTAAAGTAAAACTCATAATTTGACATTATTACAAAGTGCACTTTTTAAAAGTGTCATGAAACCGTTCTCTCTTAAAGTGCACTTAAGTGACCTTTAGTTTCATTAACTTTATATTATCTGCATGTAAAAATACTTTGAAGATTTGAGGTACAGGTGCACTTCTTTTTATAAGAACGTGCTGTGAGATCTAGCTGTGTCTGTTCTGTTTAGGAATAAATCGTCTTTTGCTTCCTATAAGTCTTTACTGTCTTCACATCATATTTTATGCACAGAGGTCAGATTCAATATAACGGTTGACCTAGTTATTAGAGTGAAATTCCAAACATTCCAAATTAGTACATTTCAGTCAAGAACTTCTGCTTTCAGTTCTCAGGGTGCTTGTCCACATAAGCTATATCTTCTGTCAGATTGCTGATCCCCTAGCCGCACATAAATCTACATTTACTGTAGGAAGTTTCTGGACAGATGTTGACGTGCGTAATATGTTTCATGATAACTATGATCATAGTAGCTATTAAAAAAAGAAAGCATTTCCCTTCTCTCTTTCAAGAAGACTAATAAAAAATGACTGCGAACCGAAACTTTTCGAAGTAGTCTTATATGAGGCAATTCTTGATTCTTTTTTTCTAGCAAAACACGGCCTAGTTCTGTATTACGCAAGCATCTGCAATACGTATGCAGCACTTGTTTATTTCTGCATCCTTATGAACAGATTACAGCATTCACTGCTGTGTAGAAGAACCAGCATTGCAAGTAAAGTTTTACACATTACATGCAGAACTCAGAACTCAGAAAAGAAAGTCAAAATACATTCTAAACTAAGTAACAATGTAAATTGCAAATGAGGTGACATAAAACGATTCAGCGAAATACTCGCATAGTGTTTGAAATACAGTAAATCTGACTGAATCCAAATAATATAAGTAGCTTATTTTTGGTGTTGTAAAGTCATTTGGATATAAATGTGGTTCCCTTTCTCATATAAATTAGACCCCTTTCCCCCTCTCATGTTATCATTATGACCATTTCATATTATATAGGAAATAATCAATAACTCAGAATTTCACTTTTTTACTGTATATAACCGTAATTTGACTGCACACCAGACGGAAATATTATCAGCACAATAGGAAGCTGCTGTTGTAGTTACGCTGCTACTTCGCTTCCTGTAAAACAGGAATGGCCAGAGAGAGAGAGTGGAAAAATGATCATGAATAATTAAACTATCATTGTTTTTGGCGCAAAACAACTTTGGCTAACGTTATAAGTGAACCAGAAACTGATTTCTTTGGCAACACACTGAATATTTTTCATTAACACTGATTAAAATACACTCTGTCTGCATTTACAATCAAAATCATTTACAGCTGTTACTGTTTCTCAGTGTGTTTGTTAAATGGTAGACTTAAGATTGGATTGGCTACACTGAGTACATGTTTTAGCATATGTCTGAACTGTTGATCCTGACTCATCAAGTGATGCTCTTTGAGAAAATATGACATGCTTGCGCTGTCTCGGTATACTGTATGTTTCTATAAATGTCTTTCAGTGTAGTTAAGTTCTCCAGTTGCCTGACCGAACTGGATCTCGGTGAGAATCACATTGGAGAAGATGGTGCAAAAGTGTTTTTAGAGGCCCTGAGAGAGAGACAAGCAAGTATGGATTTATAGAAATATGGAAATACAACTTAAATAAGGCTGCAGTGACCTCGTGCAAAGATGTTACATTTTGGAGTTTATTCCACATGTGAAATGTGAAGTTACTCATATAATTGTGTCCCACTTTTGGTTTGGTCAAATGAGATTGTAAATCATTTCCCCATCTTTTTGACAGCTAAACTATCTCCAATAAAAATCCAGGTTTCAACACGCATGTCCGCAGAAACATTCAGTGCTATTTTGAAAAGTGCAAAGGAGCTTAAATCTGGGAAAAAGAGACGAAAGACTAAGGTGCAGTATAGGATTTTTTTGATGCTACACACTTACAAATGTGTCTGTAAGCCTTTCTCAGAACTAATTTCTCTTTTCTGAGTCATTTTTTCAAAATGTTTTTAGTCACAAGGCTTCAAATCATTTTGGGGACACTGTAGTTTCTTACAATTTCATGAAAATGTAACTGAATTCATGGAAGTATGAATTTCTGTCTGCCATAATGCTCATACCTCTCTTATTTTTTCATTTCTAAAGGGAAAAAAGAAGTAGTCTGTCTGGAGGATATTGAAGGACATTGCTGACTGACACAAGAATGCTTTTCCAGACTATTTCTCCA